ATTTTTGTTGGAAGAGACTACATATCAAAGTGACAAGAGATTGATGATAAACTTATTATATTCGTATGGTATAGGAGAATATTTATTTCAAATTTCTCATTTTCTATACAGCCTTCTATCCCATTTCTACCCTGGGGAATGGATTTTTTGAAAAGCCGATATATTTGCTTATTGTATTAAAACATCATCAGATTCAGAGCTAATGAATGTGATTTGTATCACTCACTCTCTTGCTTTGGAGCCGATTAGGACATGTGCAGGCGATGAAGGCGATGTTCGAAAACCTTACGATTGAGGACCTCAATCAGTTTTCCAGGATCGTTAGGCTTGTTGCATATTTCCTTCGCTGAAAAGTGATCCAGGTACTCATCACGTTTGCAGTAGAGGCAAACACCATTGATATACTCCTCCTCGCATAGCGTGGCGTTCGTGGAACGCGCCCAATCTGCGTTATTTAGTTGCTTGAACAGATCTCCAATATAAATGCGAGCCGAGGCCACAGCGGTAAATGCATTGGACGCAACAGTTGTAATTGGATTGTGCTCCAGATTTAAGACCAAGAGATTCTTAAGCTTATTAAAAAGGCCGCTAGCAAGAAAAGAACAGATTGGGATTGTAGAGCAAGGAGGCTTATCAGCACAAGAGGACCTACCCTTGTATGCGATCCAAATTGTTGTGGGCCAGGTGAATTTCAAGCAGCATTGGTGAGTGGTGGAAAAGCTCGTCCGGTAACCTGGCAATGTTGTTGCGCTCCAAATGTAGCATTAGCAGCTGCCTTTGCGATTTGAGGAAATCCCTGCCCAGATAACTAATGTTACTACGAATGCCGATGTAGGAGAGATTCTCCGATTTCCAGAACAGCTCGGCGGGCACATTGTCGCCGCAGTTGTGCAACTCGAAGCCACGGAGCTTGGTCATGTGCCACAACTCTTTGGAGCTAAGCAAGGACATATCCACACTGCTGTTCTTAAGCGAGCAATCGAGCGAGAGTTGGAGCAACTCCGTCTGCTTGGCAAATATCTCGCTGGCCACGCTAGCCATATTTCTGACAACAATTGATAGCCTCGTCAGATGTGTGAGCGGATGCAGCAATGTGCCTGGCAAATCACTTCTGCCCTTAAGCGTCAGTTCAGTGATCTCTGTAACATTCTCGAAAAAATTTGCGGGAAGCATCGCCTTAAACCCAATTAAGGAGATTTTTTTGAGCCCGGGGTAATTTGTAAAATGTTGTTCCAGCAGCTCATCTCGCTCGTCGCGCGTCTCAAAGTAGTTGGAGACCTCCAGTTCGGTGTAGTTACTAACTCCCAGCTTCGAAAGCAGGCTGCGTATAGTTTGGGCGTTGGGTATAGCGCAGTTGTCGATGCTTAGCCGACCAATGCTACCGGCCTTGAGAGGTGGCAAGTAACCAAAACCGCGTACATCAAAAATGCTGCAACTGATACTGTACAGCTGGGATGAGCTGCTAAGAGTTACCATACCGCACTTGATGCGCTTATCCTGGCACTCGCACTCATTGTTACTCTTCAATAATGACTCACAGCCCTCTCTGGTGGTATATAGGGCAGGTGCTTCCTCAGAGACCGTTACATTGTTCTGCAAGCTGGACACGAAAAGGTTCAGCAACAAGAACGCGACCAACATCCTCGAGTCTTGGTTCGACATCGACTGAGCGCTGCAAGGAAATAAAGTCAGCATAAATAAAGTAAAGTAGCAGAACCAAAACTCAACCATCAAATGTGTTTACCTGCCTACCTACCAACCATTAGCATTGCTTCAATAAAAAGCTGATCTCACTCTCAGGTAAGGTCAAATTTCAATGGAAATGAAATGCGCTGAGAATTTAGGCAAAATTTCAGCTGTTCTAGGATGTAGCCATTTTGCCAATTACCTGGAAGTTCTACTCTACCTTAAAGGTTCTCCCTTTTACTTATTTTCCATGGTGCCCGAATAAAATAGTTTGCAATTTACTGTGCAACTTGTTGCATATATATTTATTAGAGATGTGAGCGTGTAGTGTTTTCATTCGTGTCACGAACACAATCGCCGCTTTACGATGTTAAGAAAAAGAAAAAAACCGACTTAAGAAACCTGAGTTTTTATTATGATCTTTTCATTGTGTAGCGCACAAAATGTCCGACCTTATAAAATGTATAAGTTCTTTATCAGTGTAAATAATTAAACAAACTTGATAATTCGCTTAATTAACAGAATCTAAAGAGCGATATTTATCAATTGATTTATGATAAACTTGATCTACACTTCCCACAGGCATGATATCTGCCTCGTCTTTTTCTGCAAAACTGCAATAGAATTTTCATCGAGTATATCCTGTACGAATGTAAGAATTAATATTTACCCGAACTGTTAAAATTTTGGGAGTTACAACGCTTACAAAAAATTAAATAAATTAATTGTTTTTTCAAAATATTTAGACTTTATCAACTTAGGAAAATTTACGTTATCTAGGTTTTGCTTAAATATATATAGAAAGCGTTTTGAGCAAATTCTATCTGACGGGGTTTCCCTTATTTTTGCCTGTTTCTATACAAACTATTTATGCACTTATTTTCGGCACACAAATTCCTAACTTACTTAAAATATATACAACTTAATATGGATACATAATTATATCATTTAAGCCCTGACTATCTACTTATTATCTTCTCAAATGTATGTGGATTCTGTATTCTGTGCGACTCCCAAAGTTCAATGCGCCTTTTAGTTCGCATTCAATAAGAGCATGTCGATCGACTTTGTTGTTCGACTGTATTTTTTTTTTTGTGTGCTGCTGCGGCTTGGTTGTGGATATGGCTGCTTGGTTCAAAAATTACATTTCATTCTGGTTTTTAGTTTCATTACAAATGCAAAAATGCAAAAATGCAAAATGGCAAGTCGGCCATTATCTTCATTCGCGTCTGCTGATCGATAATCGCAGGCAGACTATCCAGTCCAAGTCGAAGTCGAAGTCGAAGACCGGGCCGGGGCCCGGTGAATCGTTCGAGGCGTTCATGCGTAAATGGCTGCCCACCTTTACGCAGTTGCACTCGCAGATCTGGCCAATGCATTTGAATTTGCAGCCGCCAGCCTTATGATCACATCAACATGAACCAATCAGCCGGCCAGGCTCACGCCAGGCCACTTTCCTCCATCTCATTCCCCGTCCCCGGCTATAGGCTTCAGGCAGCGCGGTGGCAAACATTTTTTACGATTTGCTTTTGGTGCCTCGAATCGCCGTTTCGTATTCCCAAGAGCTAAATCAATAAATTACGTGACAGGCATGCAGAAAACTTGATTACTCCCAACTAAATGTGTACATGGACTGAGCGTACTCCAGCGATCTTCGTTTATTTCGTTCATTTTGATTGAATCAATCAAAAATAAGCATTTATATTTAAAGGCAAGACGTCATATATCTTCCACATCTTTCGTATAGGCAACCCAATAAATTATTACCAAAGCAAGCCACTATAAGCTTTGCTTTTGGTTTTGAGCATTGCGTTTGATAATCTCCATTTCTTCAACGCAAGAAATATAAAATTCGTTTCTCCCCTCTTTATGTTAGCTTTATCTACCTTGGTAAAGTCGCAGCGATATCCACTTAGATTGTAATTAGCAAAGTCTAAAAGGGGCAAAAACTAAATTGCAATATGATCTGTAGTCAATTTTGAGTGCCTTAAAATGTCATATAATAAGTAGTATGTATATACCACAGGCCATGTCTATGCCTCTCGAAGAAACCCAGCCAGATTTATTGATATAATGAAAATCAGCAGTGAAACCCTGTGCCTAAACGGGGCATATTAACTCTTACTCGTGGCAAGTTTAATTAGCTTTCTTAAGATTTATTTCAAGCCTTGTGACACAAAAGTCAAGAGCATGTTTAATTTCTTCAGTGGCATTTAGCTGTTTCTAAATTAATATTAAATAATTTACGGTTTGTTTTAAGTTTGCATCAATTTGGCGTTCAATAATCCAAGCAGGGATTCAGTGGCTTCAAAAGTTGATGGGTTCTGGCAAGCGAGGCAAGGGAGTCAGAGAGACGGATGAACTGGAAGCCATGCTACTATTGAACTTTATTGTGCCGCAAATCTTCATTGATTTTGATTTCTTGGACTGCAATGTTGAATCGCCTTATTCTAAAGCTTTTTCCCAGACTAGCCGCACTGACTTCAGGCCACCTCGAATGGGAAATACTTTTGTAAGACTACCACACAACATGACAAGCAAATAAATGGTCTTAATCCTGGCCAGACAAAGGGCTGCTCTCATAAAAGGGCAAGGCATGGACTCGGCTTCAGCTTCGGCTAATAACTCACTCACACACTCCGCCGTGAATGTCTGGGCGTCTAATGGAATAGCCATGAATGGGGTTGGTGGTCTTCTATTTATGCGATTTGCATTTGATTTATTTATTGTAAATTATACGCCGCATGCAAATTGGTAGCTATACAAAAAAAAAAATTAAGTTGTTGCGCTATGGTTTTCCAAGAAACGTTTCCAGTTGCGCCAAAATTGGCCTGAAGGGCTTTTCCGTTGCTCAAATAATAATTCGCTTCAAATTCGAATACGCACGTTTCATAACAGAAATAATATATACCAAGTACAAGAAGGCAGCCAAAACATATTATATAGCCCGGAGCGCCCACGCAATGAGAAAGCCTCTCTGCCAAACCCTTTGCCTTAGGCATGGCCGTATCCCACTCGCCCCCTTACCCGTGGCCCCTTAGTGGCAAATCAAATAGACGCATGAAATTTAATAGCACGTACAATTTTTGACATTTGCCTTTGAAAACAAATGAAAATGGAAATGGAAATGGTAATGGCAACATGAACTGGGGCAACGCCCATGCCACACAATTTGGGTGTTTGGACTCCTTAGTGCATGGAATGGTAGTTTTTCTATTTGGCTTATTTCTATGTTTCCGCCTGTTTATTTATTTTAATTAAAATGGACACGTGTTGCTGTTTTCTTGTTTTCATTTGACAGGGAAACTTTGCGACAAGAAACGGAATAATGGCGTTCTTGTGAATAATTCGCAGTACGAGAAGTAAAAGAAATTGTGAGAAGTGTAACTAAGAGCTGTTTTAATTCTGGCTGTTAACAGTTTCGTCAGTAACCAAGCAAGGACATGGAAAATTCTGTTAACCCATTGAAAAACAGGTAAATTAAGTTATTTAAAGGAAAAACAGTATGATTCATATATCTGACCCTGTAAAAGCGTTAACCAAAATAAGATCTAGACTATAACATTGTAAATGATGTTATTATTTTTATTAATATTTGCCATCCCTTTCTCAATTGCACAAACTTATGTTGTAATAATAACACTTGATTTTGTATATATAAACGCTAAGACATCAAAGAGGATTTGTCAGTCAGCCAGTCAGAATTAACGCTGAGCACTTTCATGCTTAAAATTTAATTTTTCCTCAACTGGGTTGAGTACGCAGAGTTTATAGGTGAATCAATATTTTTACAACAGCCTTAAGTTGGTTTGCGCTCCTTAGTTACGTTGCAAGCTCCCATGACAATTGCTATTGTCTACCATAAAGAAATGGGCGTGGCTATTCATGTTGCACAGTCTTCAACAGCAAATTTGCATACCGCCTCCTTGCAGAAGCTGCAGCTCGCGCAGAAATGCCCCTGAGTGGTATTTGCAAAATTGCGCCGGTATATGAATGCCTAAATCATGATCGTGCCTAGAAAATGGCTAAGTTTCTTGACAGCCAGTCACCGGCTGCTTATCGCCTTAAAATAAAAAGAAGCTGGTAGCCAGTAGCCGGCCGCTCGTCAGAAGTCCGAAATTAGCAAAGCCGGATTGCTGCCGTTCAATGCCTAAGACTGATTGTTGTTGTTGTTTTTTTTTTTTTTGCTGTTTTGCTATTTTGAATGATGTTTAATGTTTTAATGCACTTGTGCGTTGAAAATTATAGAAATGACTACTGAGCCGGCTGAGCGGGACACGGGCTCAATTCGTGGAGTCGACGGCATTAATTCTATGCAATTAATGGAAATTATGAGTGGAACATTGAAATTCCTTGTGAACATCGCCCAGGACAACCGAGCCAAAACCGAGCGACTCAATTGCGAACTTTGTAGCAACGTATCGGGGGTTCGGCTTGGGTGGCCCTCTTCAGAATATTTTCATTCCAGATTGCTTTGCCAAATGAAAGAAAATTAAATTTTTCACTGTCTGCTTAATTGAAACATTAGCCGAAAACATTTTATCTACTCTGTCCCAGTTATGTTCTGTTTCTGTCTTTTTCTCTTTTGGCCCTGTGTTCATTTACATTCAAATTAACTCGTAATGAAAACGAGTTCACAAACTTTGACTTTGGGGGTTGCGGCATTTAATTAGTTGTTCTGATTGTTGTTGTTACTGATGTTTGTTGGCCATTTCTTTTAGCTTAGTCAGTTCAATTATCCACGCACAATGTGCTGCGCCATCGTAGAAAGCTTTATGGTCTGTTTGTTTAGACACTATCAAAGCTCGTTTGTTGAATTTAATGTGAGCGCAAATAAAATCAGTTAAACCAAGAACTCGCTGAAAGGGAGCGCTCGACTTGGAAATACCCTGAACCCAGCACCGAGCTACCGTTAGAAATTGTCAAACTTCCTTCTACACAAAAACAGGCATAACTCGGATGTTCTTCTTACTTAGCCCCATATCAACAAGAACTCGATCCTGAATATCTTCAGTGTTTCTTCTTCGATGAGATTCTTCAAGTTTTGCAACCTTGAATAGAATCCGATATTTCTGAATACTATACGGAAGACCTACGCTTAAATTTTAAAGTCTGAAACTCTAATAATTTATCAAACAAATAGAAAAACGCGACTTAATCGACCCGATTTCTAATGTGCTCAAGAATATATAGTATCTATGGGTTCGGAGAAGCTTCCTTCTACCCGTTGCATACTCTTGAGCAAAACCATTATACCCTTTTTACCAATTGTCAATGGGTTGGGTTTCACAATGTATGGAGTCATTTTAGAGTGAATATATTCATGCCAATTTTAATGTCTCAAGGTCTCATCTCATGTCGAGATAAGATATGGATGTGAAACAACTCAATCGAATATTACGTTGGTTATCGAAAAATTGTACATTTGTTTGCATACTTTTCGATACCAGACACTCAAATCTAGGGTCATAGCCCATTTACCATTTGCCACAGCACTTGGACATGGACCCCATTTTTTGCATACACTGCACAAACTGCAATCAAAGCCTGCTGCATCATCCGTCCCAAGCTGAGCTGCCAGGCATACCCCATACTTCCCGTCATTTTGGCACTTCAAATTGGCAAACAAACAAGCTCACGTTCAAATGAAATGTGAGCATAAACAGACATTTTTCACACAGCTCCCGTCACCGTCACATTTGCCAAGGTAAACAACTTGAATGCGTCCTGGCGGGTACGAGGAAGCAGAATTAAGGGGAAGCATTGCTCATACGGCGAGATGCATGGAGTGGGGGCCAAGAGTGAGAGATGTACTATATATGGAGATGGAAGGAAAGAGAGAGAGAGAGATAGAGGGAAGGGAATGGAAGCAATTCACTTGACACGCAAATGTGCATAAACAAGGCATGAATATTCATGCTCAGATACATATAGTCACTTCTGTGGCTGCAACTTGAAAGGGACTCGTTGTCCTGGTCTGTGATATCTCGACTAAGAGATGAAATGCAATGCGCATAGAAAAATTTGTCCGCAAATGTTTGCACATATGGTTTAGGAGGCGTCGGCTGCTGGGGCCAGCATTGGCCAAGTTGACTGAACCGGGTGTTTGGTGTAATACATGTTATGCAATCTTCACAGCACATGAATGAGCGATGTTTGCAAGTCTTTTGAAATGATCTAAGCAGGTCGTTCACATCGAGCCCTTCGATATTAAAATTTCAACTGACTAAAAACATTTGCACAACAATCATAAATCCTTGTCAATCACACGCGGGACACACTCCCCTGACCCTCCTACTGCTACTTCGAACGACTGCCATCATCATCAGCCTTATCCTAATCCCCAGACCCCATATGATTCCAGCTGCAAACCATCTATTGCCTATCGCTAGTTGCAACTTTCGGGCTCCAGACAACAGCTTCGACAACGACTTCGACTTCTGACTTGCGTAAGCGGAACTGATTACATCTGTCGTCATTGCCAACGTTTTTGAAGCTGCGTGACAAAAATTTTTGACTGTCGCCGTCATTTATTTGATGCGTCGCTTTGACAGCTGTGTCTTCGATAGCGACTTTGACTAGCCCTTGACGGTGGCTGAAAAAGTTTCGTCGTGATTGCGTGTAGGCTGTTTTGTGCTCTTTCATTGATAGTAAGTTTAATTCTTTTTCATCTTCTTGCCAACAATAGCCTACAATCAATCATTGTATATTAAACGTACAAATATTATATAAATTTAGTGGTTTTTGGCATGAGTGAGAGTGAGTGCTGTACAATGTTTTTCTACAGTAGTATGTGAGATGTTATTTTACACTGTTTTTTTGCACGCCAACAACACAACAACAAGCCATCCTCTTCCTTTGTACAACTGCATATACTTCCTTTGGGCTAATATTTAGGTGTAAAATCACAAAAGAAGGTTTGCATTTTTTTGATGTTTGAAGCGTTACAATTCGCAACGAGTTTAAGGCCCGAACAAGAAATGGCAATGTGCGTCTAAGCCAGGGACCGGTACTTACTCAAACCATCAGCTTACCTCTGAGTTTATGTATATTGGTTGTTGTATAAAATAAACAAAAAAAAAACTTTTCTATTGACAGTCAGCATGCAATTTTAGTTTAAAAAAGTATATCCAGTAACTTCATTTACGTTTGTAATTGAACAAAGCCAGATAAATACAATTTAAGATTACGCTAAATACATCATAAATTAAAATGTTTAAAAAAAATGCAAAGCAATACGGCTTGGCCGCAAACCCAACGGTAGCCGATTTGGGCTTTTGTCGGCAAAAGAACATTAACAAAATTGTTTAATTTGAGCTGCAAATTGCTTGCAAAGTAAAGTGACTGAAACCAACACCGAAAACCGCAAGAGTTTATGGCCCGCTCGCTCCTAACAGTATCTCATTGTCAGGCCTAAATCATATTTAACGATCAATAAAAGAAACAACTAAGAAGTTGTCTGAGACTCTGGATCTCCTTCCGAAGCGTCGAGACGCATTGTCAGTGTGCATTCGTATTTTGTTTCCTTAGAACTCATCCTCTGTTTTTCGTTTTGTGTGGGCTAGTTCAGGGTAGAGTTGAACTTCGCAAATTGAGTGCCCGAGCGGTAACTTCAAAGCTTCGACGGCAACTTTGTTGTCAGACCGAGCTACTTGTTACAGAAATTCCATCTCGGATCTCTATTACTTTGCTCTCATAGCGTTATGCAGCGGCAGCCCAATAAAGGCTACCGAGGACTTGCAGACTAGCACAACTATCGTCTATCGAGCTAACACAAAACAAACATGACATGAACCAGACATAACTAACTACAACATTGTAACAGTCAACGCATAACTATCGATATCGCCGTGTGAATTGTGCTCCTAAAAAATCGTGGAAAAAAGTGACAAAAAACGGACAAGCCCACCTAACAGTGGCATAATAATACAGCTGAAAGTGAATTGAACCCCAAAAAAATCAAAAACTGCGTTAAAGTGCCTAAAATAAAGAAAGACCCAAAAATCAAAACTGCAAATGTGCAATTTGCACACAAGCAAAAATTGGGAGCTGTCAAAGCCAGTGCTGCCAATGTCAATGCCGAGTTGCCTACAAAAATAGCAGTCAGCTTAAACAACGTTCAGGCTTCCATGGCAAATAAAAACTTAAAAAACGATGACGTCCCTGGTACCCATGCATACAACACACGCAGCAACACCTGCTCCAGTCATGCAGTGTTTAGCAATATTCCACCGCCAACTAACCCCGAAGTCAACAGCAATCAAGTACACGGTCTTCTAGCCCCGCTCACTGAAGCAAGTAGATCTTCACCTGATTACATGAACGAGGTTCACGCGTACACTCCTGAGGGATGGGGACAGTCGAACCAGCTACAACTACAACAACACGGCATTGTGTGCACAACAGCAACCACAACAACTACAACCACCGTGTCCTCAAGTAGCGGCTGCAGGACCTCTGCCTCCAATGGTACAA